CCGCTGCGCCATGGGCTTGAGAGTGGTCGCACGCGGAAGCAGACCCGAGAGATGCAAGGTGCCGGGGAGATACCGGGGCCCGGAGAAACACCGGACCCGGAAGGGGCCTTGCTGGCGACCATCCTGGAAACTGGCTGGACGGGGATTGTTGAGGACTTCATCTGCAACTCGCTCGTGAAGGAGCAGTGGGACAAGGAGCAGGCACGCCGTATGGAGGAGATGTACAGGCGCGAGATGCAGGAGGTGTTGGGCCCGGAACAGCAGGCGTTCGGGGCCGAGGTCGATGCCAGCGGGTCTTCGCAACCACTCCCAGACCCACAGCTAAGTATGACCTTGCCAATCGGCCAGAAGCCGAGTGATGTGGAAGCAGTACCGATGACGTACAAGGATGTGATGTGTTCCAAGTACAAGGTTTTTTCGGAGGCGGCCATGAAGAAAGAGATAGATGGCCACGACAAGACTGAAACCTTTACCAAGGTCAAGGAGCTGCCCGAGGGGCGGAAGGCCACAGGTTTAAAGTGGGTGTTCTCTCGGAAGACGAATGAGAAGGGCCTGATAGTCGACTTCAAGGCCCGTATTGTTGCGCGGGGTTTCTCTCACATCCCCGGCATCGACTTCCACCACTCATCCTCAGCGTGCCCGTCTGCAGCGTCTATCAAGACGGTGATTGCTGCAGCCACTGAAAAGGGCAAGAAACTCGCTCACTGGGATGTGAAGCAAGCGTACATCCACGCTAAGCTAAAATAAGAAATATACCTCAGGTTCCCGGAACGCTGTGGTAACATGTCCGGCAAGGTGGTCAAGGTTGAGCGTGCCCTGTATGGCCTAAAGCAGAGTAGCCGTGAGTGGGGGTTTGAAGCTGCCGATGCCCGCATCGAGAATGGATACGAGCAGTGCAGGGTCTGTCTCTTATACANCCGGCGAAAGATCTGGGGGAGTGTACCTGGTACGACGGGTGTGCTATCGCCATGGNCGCTGTGGTAACATGTCCGGCAAGGTGGTCAAGGTTGAGCGTGCCCTGTATGGCCTAAAGCAGAGTGGCCGTGAGTGGGGGTTTGAAGCTGCCGATGCCCTCATCGAGAATGGATACGAGCAGTGCAGGGTTGACCCGTGTGTCTTCCGGAAGGTGGTGGATGGAGAGGTCGTAGGTCTCATCGTGATCTACGTTGATGACATCTTAGTGGCGGCAGACGAGGGAGAGCGAGAGGAGTTGTTCGCTTCCCTCAACAAGAAGTTTCCGGTGAAAGATCTGGGGGAGTGTACCTGGTACGACGGGTGTGCTATCGCCATGGATGTAGAAAATGGCATCACCAAGCTGTCCCAGACAGCATACATTGAGAGTATGCTGAAGCGGTTTGATGTGACCACGACCGCTTTCACCCCTGCTGCCACCGATGCCGACCTAGGGCCGAAGAGAGATGACGAGCCCGCGGTGGATAAGCCTGTGAGGGAGGCAATCGGATGCCTGATGTGGACGAAGCTGACGAGGCCAGACATCGCCCTGCCTCTGAACAAGCTCCAGGAGATCGCCCACCCACCCGCCGGGAGGATATGGAACGCGCTTGTGCGGATCATGTCCTACCTGAACTTCACGAAGGACTTCGGCATCACCTACGTACGGGGGTCAGGACTAGACCTAAGCGTGTTTGTCGATGCCAGCTACGCTGACAACGAAGTAGACAGTCGTTCTACGACCGGGTTAGCTGTGACCGTAGGTGGTACTGTAGTGTGTGCATCCACCAAGACGCAGCCAGTGACGGCTCAGTCGACCTCGGAAGCAGAGTATATGGCAGCCGGGGAGGGTGTGAAGGAGGCATTGTTTGTGCGTGGCGTTCTGTCGTTCATAGCGCCCGAGACGAGTGGGGCGAAGATCAAGGTCCTTGAGGACAACAAGGGGGCTCTCGCCTTAATCGAGAACCCGTTCAGCTCAGCGAGGAGCAAGCACAGAGATAAAACGTCTTCCCCTTCTAAGTAAAGGACATATACGAACAAATCACGTATTCTACTGCCGCCGGTAGTTGTATGTAGGTGGAGTAGGTGCCGCGATACCACGTATTGTCGGCCCGAAAACACAACTGTAGTTTTCATCCCGTTATCCCGAAGTATCATGTGTGCTTCGCCCGCTGGACAAGTAGTAGGTAGTCCCTTCGCAATAATCAGCGAAGTATACAAAACGTTTCTCTGGATGACTGTAAGACAGCCCCACACTACAAACTACTGTGTGGGTAGGTGTCATGAACACAGGTAGGAGGAATTCTCACCCACCTCACTCACCACTTCTTGTAGTTAGGCTCAAGAGTAAAATGTGGCAAAAAAAATGTACCAGTCAGTAAGCACACATGGATGTATGTACGTACGTACGTACATGAAAGCCATGCACCTACACCCTTACCCTTCACAGGCCGAAAATATCCCGAGGAAAAAAAAGACGAAAAGCTACGCCTGGAACCCGTTTCTTCTCTTCTTCGTGTTGCTCATCCACTAGACTACATACAGCGCCGCATTTTGTCCCTTCAACCGGCTTCCAGTTGATTACAATCAAAGAAAGACAATCCTGGTACTTCCAAACATAAATTCACTGCTTTGTTGGCAGGAGCATCAAAAAGACGGCTGAAAACTCTAACCCAATGACCCCAACCAAAAACCCACCCACCCGCGCTTGCTTGTTGTACGACTAGGTTCTGGGTCGGTGTGCCGGCGATGCCAAAAACATTTCTGCATCCACAGGGAGACGCATATCAGCCATGCACCCACACGGAAATACGTCCTGTGTGAGGAGCGAGCGTCACGAACATGTATGGATGCCTTTCTTGTTTCTTCCACCTGTCGCTCTACGACAGGCAGGCGCAGTTTTCTATCCCTCCAACCAGCGATTACTACATGAAGCGGCTAAAATCCCTAACGCTAACCCAACCCTAACCCCAAACCTGCCCAATAGGTGCTAGGTTGACGTTGGGTGGCTCAGTTCTAGGTCGTTGTGCCGGCATTGATTGGTGCTAGGCTGGTATCGATGGGATTATCTAGGTTGGTAATGCTTGGATAGGTAGGTTGGTGTTGAGCTGTGTAGGTGCCAGGTTGTGTGGGCCTAGGTCGCTCTTGATTGGGTGGTTCCGTCGGTAAAACTAGGTGCGGGTGCATGGCTTATGTGCGTCCCCATGGGTGCATCGAATATTTTTTGGCCGGCATTAACACTAGGTTGGTGTTGATGGGAGAATTTCTGTCGTCTAAGTTGTATTTGCGTGGTAGGTGCTAGCTAGAGGTTGGATTGATGCGACAAATACATCTATGTTGTTACTGCTTGGGTAGGTGCTAGGTTGGTTTCTGACGTGGGTACGTGCGAGGTTGTTGTTGGTGCTTGGAGTAGGCTTAGGTCGCTCGGTGGTAAACGGTGCTCGTGTGCTCGTGCAGGTCTGCAACGACGGGACTTCCAGGTGTGGGAGTGTGGGTGCATGGCCTATTATGTGCGTCCCCCTGTGTGAATCGAATACATTTGCAGGTTGCTGAGCAAAGTGGCCGTTATTTTTTGTGGCAGAATCAAAGGTTGTGTCGATCGTTGCATACAGTTTAATTTGCTCAGTGGGACGAGGGGGAGGGGGGATTGGTCACACCCATTCGCCGGCCCATATAGGCAGTGTGATATGGTCAGTCAGACAGATCGAACGCTAGAGAGAGAAAGTGTTTCGAATATGACGTAAATAGATCGTCCAGTCCTCCGCTGCGTAAGAAGTCTCTGAAACCCGAGCGACGTCGTCCTCGGAAAAAATCGAGGGGCACTGACTGCTGGATTACCCGGAATGCAAGGGTCAGCGACAACAACGTGGTGCTAAGATTTACCCAATGCTAGCCATACGAGCAAGGACGGACATCTTTTGTGAGGTGTCCGTCGACAGGTCGCTTTCGAGAGGAACGGTAGCCTTGGGTCCAGCACGTTGCAGAAGAAGAAGAAGGAAACAAAGGGTGCCTGGCCATTCCCGCTGGCAGGGGAACGGCGGCGCGGACGCCGGGTCCAGGGACAAGGAACACGTCAAAATCGGTTCGAGGCTGCTCTGTTCTTTATTTCTTCGTCGCCATTCTCGAGCACAGGTTGTCATTACAACTTTGTTTTGGTATAGGTTAGTGTAAGGATTCACCGCTGCGCTGAGGTGTGCTTCTTATCCAATGTTTCTTTACTGTGGGCCCGCGTACTTCACGCGTGCGGTGGCGGTCTTCTCTCTCTATTAACGTGTCCTCCCGAAACGGTGTGTGTGGTGTCAACAACGTCGACGTCGGCCGCGCGACTGCCTAACTAGTACCAGGCGCGCCCGAGCTTTCGGCGGAAAAGATGAGGCGTTCGAAGACGTCCAATGATCGAAAAGTCACGGGTTGACACCGGGCGAGATTAATAGTCGACACTAGACAAAAAGAAACGATTCGAGGCCATCACGCTAGTAAGTCTGTTGGTCCTAAAGCTTGCCAACTTACGGGTGTCGCGGTCGGGGGCGGGTGAAGCGAGCGCAGACGAATTAGTTAGTAAGACGTATCCGAAGACTCATTAGAGTAGATACTAACCGGTTGACATGTCCTCGCCAATCGTACAAAAACGCGCGGCGGCTACATTGGCGGTGTTATCTCCAGACAGACATCGAGAGGGGGGGGGCGAGCGGTAGGTAGTCGATGGTCCCGTTGGTCGAAACGTGCGGTTCCCGCGCCTCAAGGATGCGTGCTCACGCGAGGCGATGTCAGTTCCCTACGGAGCAGCAGTGAAGAGAGAGAGAGGTGGCACATGATGAATAGTGCAACTAATGGCGAGGGCGCGCACCTCCTGTGTTCCCGACCGGGCAAGCACTAGAAGAAGAAATAACGGTCGCCGTTGAAGAGAACCGGAGACGATTAGCGCCCTCGTTCAAGAACGCCAATCTGGGGTCGAGGCTCACCTTCTTTTAGGTCTCCACCGTCGAGCTGAGGCCAGTCATTGTATGCCAAAGTATAGTGTAGGATCCACGGCTGGCTGTGAGGGGTGTTTCTTACAGTAGTAGCGGTAGTGGATATTTCACATGTATCGCCAAAATCTGAGCCTTCCTGTGGTCTCTAAAAGGTTTGTTTCTGAATCGCGGGCGCAGAGTGCACTAAAAACCTCGACGGAACGTGTCACGCCCTCATCTTGCATAAATAACGGGCAAATATCCCCGACGATCTTGAAGACTGTCCGGGGGAAGGGGGCTGACCGCCACCCATGAGTCGATTGTGGCGATTACGACCACCGGCTCGGCAACGACTACCGGGCTGGCGAGCGTTGTCATTGGCAAAAGCCATCACCGGAAGACCGGCCGAGTCTAACGGCCGGTTGCGATTAATAAATTGACAGAACACAGGTCGGTGTGTGTGGTGAGGGTTTTGTCCTGAATCTCTTGTGTAGGATAATATCGTTCAGCAAGTTTGCCGAGATTGTGGCCACCATTTCGTGCATGCGAGCAAAGTAGTTACGAGGCACGCCACCACAGTTGGACCGGCTGCTTCCGGCATTATTTCGACGCTGACAAGAACGTTGTGGCTACTGTACATCTACACGATTGATTGATTGTTGAGGCGATCGGAACCTTTTCGGCGAAAATATTACACATGGCCTTGCCAACGTTGGGAAGCAGCAAAGTGGCCCATGAGGTCGCCCGACTTTGGGTTCAACAAACCACCTTCAATCACATCGTTTATAAACGGCAACGTTTTCTTTCGTAGACAGGTCGGTACCCGAACAGCACAAACAACGATCGGTTTACGATTTTCTTCTCCGGGAAGCTTGCGAACGAGCATAATGGCGTCGTCAGCAAAGGGGTCCCCCAGAAGGGGTTGTCGGTGTTGCGAAAAGAGGGACTGAGGGTTAACACCTCACCATCATTATACAAATAACGTTTTTTTTTTGCAAAACAGGCGAGAAATTGAAATAATTTTCATGCTCAATAGGGTTCCGTGCTGCCACGGGTCTGCGAACAACGTTTTTTATGCACACCCAGGTACTTATATTCTCATTTGGGAGATTTGGGAGGGAGGGTACGAAGTGACCATCCCCCCCCTCCCAAACACCATAGAAGATCCTGTATAAACCCGGCATACCAATTTCTATGTAAAAAAGGGGCTCCGTGTCCTTCAGGGAGTTGTTGTGCATCTGCGTGCCCCCTAGCCGTGTCAGCTCGCCGCGTCTGTACGCTGTTCGGCCTACCACATCTAGGCGACGAGAGGGAGAGCACGGTCAACTCACCCTCAGGGTGGGTCGCAGGCCTAGCTTAGGATGTTGCGGCGCAAGGCGATAACCAAAGATGTCCTCGGCGCGCGGTAGAAGCAGACTTGGGGTCCAGCGAAGAGGGGGAGAGGGCACTGAGGAAGAGGGAGGGGGGAGGGGGAGGGGAAGGGCCAGGGGAGCTAAGACGAGGAAGAAGGGGATGAAAAAGAAGAGGAGAAGAAGGAGGAGGAGGAGGAGGAGGAACGGGAGCCAGGCGTAAACTCGAGGGGGGGTAAACGCACCCCGAAACGGCGTTGTTCGGGGTTGTTGAGACAGGTTATCGCGCGAAAATGTCGAGGAAGTTGCAAGCGGAACGGTAGGCGAACAGGCGGACGCAACACTCTCAGCTGATTGCGAACTGCTACACGACATATTTATTTACGCTCATGTTCCGCGGTGTCTGTCGAGAATTGGGCTTCTTTTTCACGCGCGTAGAGGAGTGACGTGCTACTCCGGGCATCCAGTTTCGCTGAAGATTGTTTTGAGGGCGTGGTGTGATGGGTGATGTGGATGTTTGTCTTGTGGTTTCGCCAACAACACGTTCTCGCGCAGGCAATTAAGTTGCATTTTTGTGCCACGCAAACAGCAGTATTCCTTCATGCGCTCTTGCGGTCTTGCATGTAACGGTCATCGTGCCGCGCGCTGGGCTGGCCCGTTCCGAACGCCCCAGATGGGCTTGGTTGGCTTTACCCCCCATCTACCTCTGATTTCGTTGATTTATG